GTTGAAGCTCAAAACGCGTATGGTTCTTCAATAAGATCTTGTAGATTTTTCAGCGGTTTCTGAGCGCGCGCACATTGTGGGCTCAATTCGAACGTTCAAAAGTAGGCAGCCACTTTAAGCCACAGTTTTATTAAATTGAAACAATAGTGCATCGGATAAACTAGATTATTTTCCCACTCTGCATGGCAGGAGTCTATTAGTCGCACATACTAAGAAAAAACGCTATATCTAACGGCTCGCGTTGTGCGGAGGGTAACTACTAAAGTATTTTGTTGCCTGGAAAGTTACACTGAAGAAAAGTTTGCGTTGTCAACTTTTAAACTTTTGGTCCGCCGTACGTGCCTAAGTTTATTTTCCCTGTATTCCCATGTTACCATTTTCTGTCATTTTCTTACAATAGATTAAATGTATAGCTCGAACAAAATATTTCGGTTTCGAATATTCTGTTGCTCATGCAGAATATGCCTTGATTTTTTGTAGAATATTCATGAATTAATTCCAGTGTAGCTTTCTTTAGAGCTTCAAAGTCATTTTGTATTGTTGATATTGTGCACTTTAACTTTACCATTAATATTTTTGAATATTTGACGCTGAAATAAAATTAAACCTGAGTAAATGATTCTGCAAGTAACGAACACAAAGGTTATTGTACAAATACGAAAAGTATCTTTTGGCGCATCAGTACTGAACAGCAAACTTCGCCTCAGAATTGTACCGCTAAAAAAAGAACACTTGACATGCACATGGTTTTTCCATATAACGTTAGTCTTTATTTTATACGGTATACTTCTATTAATAGAATATGTATGTATATGTCATTAATACTATGTAATACAATATTCGATTTATAAATATTTCCATTTACACCATAAATATTTTTTTGTCACCTATTAACAAACACCTCCATAATATAGAGTGTAATATTATTTATATTCACCAGAATCAATTCAGCAGGGGTAGGGAGGGGAGATCCCCACCCTACCACCCGGAGGAGCTAGAATTAAATATTTAATGATTCTGGAATTAATGTAAAGATCGATAAAATTATTTGCAAGTTTTCGAAATCAATTTCAAGATACTTTATACCTCATAATCATTTTTTTTTCCTTTAGAATGTTTCTTATAACCGGTGAACACGGACACTGATGTTATAAACTCTATACAAATTGATAGGACGTTGAGAATTTTCTATATACGATATTTACACTAAATTCATCGCATTTATGTATATTTTGGGCGTAGCAAAAATTTCTTAAATTTTGATTTGTTTGGGGAAAAATTATTAAACGAATGTAGTCTGCCCTACTTGTCTTAGGTATCCTGATTCTTACCTCTAATCTCCGGCACAAGAGAAAAAGAGGACAACTCTGGCAAACAGGTATAGTTTTTTACAATTTTTTCGCGCTCACAGACAGGATTTATCTGTTTGGATTTTATAGCATGAAAAGGGTTCAAAAATAGATCACTTATAAGCTTGGCTCTCATGACCAGACCTCGTGTTATTCTCTTGATTACTGTATCTTTGTATATCAATACACTTTATAAGATGCATTAATGTGGATAAAACTTAATTGTCCAAAAAAAAATTGACACGTGGTATAGCATGGGAAAATGTTACACCTAAGTTGAATGGGTCTTTTCTTGATTTCAGACCACAGTTTCATATTTCACCCACGACCGGTTTTGATTGGTGGTAATTAGCTTCATTAAGTTAGATTTATCCAGTAAAGTAATCGACTTGCACCATGTCCAATGCAATATGCACCTGCGTGCATCAAAAAGCTATTATATTGAGTTAGATTTAAAAGAAACTTTGGGTTTGTGAGGGAGTCGGTGCAATAAGGATTTTTGACGATGATACCACCTTTGGAGGACAAACTCTCAAACTCATCAAAGCTGAAAAGTCATCTGATTAAAATATGACTCTCAGATAGTTGTGGAGTTAGCAAGCGCACGTGTGCTATATACAGTTGCAAATAACCATGCAGGGATTGGCAAACATACGTTACAGTAAGCAAAGTCTGATAGCTAGTGGAGTGTTTCTCAACACTTCTCGAGCTGTTCTGGCTACCAATCCGCTAGTGCTTTATAACTGCTTACAACACAGCGGCATGGGCTTTATTTACCCTTTTCCTACTTTAAAGACTTCAAGAATGTTCTATTTATCCAACGGGGAGGTAGTTGGTAAGGAAAGGAGAAGGAGAGGAATAGGTCAACTCTTTTCACTTTCCCATTCCCATTTTCATTTCCTTGCTACCACTACCACTTCTGACCCTCTTGACTTGGAGCGGAAGTCTCTTATCTCACCGATACGAAAAACCCTTGCTAGTAATTTTCTAGTAATTTTAAAGATACAGTGATAATATTGCTAAACAGGAAAGATCCGTTTTAGTAAAAGTTCGATCCCACTGATTTGAACGGGAAATAGACGATAAACTACTAATATTGGGATTGAGAAGAGATGCGCATTGCACAAACAACAAAAGTATATGCGTATAGAACTGTACTCCTAACTATTAAAACTGTTCATTTTGTGATACGATCGAAATAATATCTATCTATAGCTCTTTATCTTGTTAAATACTCACCTGCCTCGCCTTTGGATTGGCAGTAAGCATCATGATAATATTATATATTTTTGTAATAAATTATTGTTTTTACATTTGAGTTGTGTCTGTGCGGTTGATCTGGGCCGTGAATCCTCCACTCGTTCCTCTGAATCTATGGTGCCTTTTTAAACCAAGTGTCCTTCGCAAAGAAACAATGACGGCTCTTCTCAATGTCCTGTGACTGAGAGTATACATGATGGGATTGCTTAAAGACGTAATTATTCTGATGTACATGATCAGGTATTCTACTGTGCTCGGTAAAGAGCCCCAGTGTTGCCATAAATCGTACAAGAAATATGGTAGCCAGCAAATGATAAATGTGACAACTACAATGATATAAACAATCACAGCCCTTCGCTCTCGATTCTTCGTTTTCATTGTCTGTCCCTGCCGTGCGTGGAGAAGATTGTTCTGAAGGATCTTACGAACCTGTCGTTTAAGGACAAAAAGAAGTTCTGCGTCCAGTATGACTGTGATTATAAGAGGGATGAAGAAAAAGGCAACCAAACAGAACCAATTGAAAATTCGTTCTTTACGATTCAGTTCAATCTCTTTTTCTGTGTTGTCTTCTTTGCCATAAACATCGGCTTCGACAGCCCAATCGAGTCGTATGGCCGTCACAATGATACTCATCGACCATATTCCAAGTAGCAGGAACATAACACGATTCTTGCGCACGAGATCGTAGTATTTATTGGCACAGACGATAAAAATATAGCGATCAAGTGTGAGCAAGAGGATGTGCACAGCACTCAGGATCGAAATAAAGCGAACAAAGACAGCACTTGAAATACAGACATCATTAGTCTCAGTGATTGTACAGGTCATCACTAGAGGAACAGTTACTAGTCCTGTAAGTCCATCGGAAATGGTAAGACTCGCTAGAATTAAGTTACTTGGAGTACGAAGGTCTCGCCTGCCTGAAATGAGCAGCGTGATGTAACCATTTACCACAATGATAAGAATGGCAACCATGACAAGAGGGACATCTGACGAGGCATGAAAACCCTGGCTTTCATACATTTCTTCCTCCATTAACTCACTGTAGTTTGTTAATGTTCCTTCGTTGTTAGAATTTCCCAACATGATTAGTGATAGTAAAATTGCCAAGCGACTCCGATTGATGACGTTAAAGAGTTTTTTTTAAATCGATAATTCGACGATTTCCTGTTTTGTTGATGAGCTCTTTGTCTCCCTTTTGAAGGTCTTCAGTTAAAAAGAACAATTACTTTCTTCGTCAGTGAGTGTCGTGAGGTCCTTCGATATTTTTTTCGTCTTGCTTAAGCCAAGACCAACGTTGCTTGTTGTATCATGCTCTGTCCTCAAATCTATCCAAATATTCAAGCTGTAAAAAAGTGAATGAAAAAACCAGTTAGACTTCGTGAGTTTGTTAGCATCAAAACACAGAGTTAACCATGCTTACCACTTCAAAAATTGTAATCAGAAACGTCCGTATTAATAGTTTATAATCCCTTATTGTTTCCCTAGCTTGCCGTCAGCCAAATTAAGGACATTTTAATTTAAAGATTTAACCAGAAAAAAAAAAGAGATTAGACTCGCTTGATTTTTCTGAGCGGGAAAGGGTGCAGATGTCGATTTTGCATGGTTAGCCGGAAACAAGTAACGATGGAAGATGAAAAATTCAGGTTTTTAAAAAAAATGGTCAGGTGTTATTGTTATTTGTGTCGTTGGCGCTTGCACGCATGATTGAGATATCGTGCTTGACTGTCTGCTTACCAGCGATATCTATATCAAAAAATCTCAAGCAACAGTAAATCTCACTTCAGTGAGAACAGAAAAACGTCCAGATATCTGAAGTCCATATTCAAAAGCATCGAATGGCAAGGTTAATTGCTTTAGAATATGAGGAAYTGTACTTCAATTGACGAGTGGATAGTCTTGATAAAGTTTCTGGTAAAAGGGATACTTGACGGAACATAAATTCAGTGATTGTAATCAAAATATATCCTAGTCTGATGTCGACATCAGGCGCCAAGAAAATAAATTAGAGTGGATTCAACATGAGTGCAAGATAGCTCGAAGAGATTATTTTGCTTTTCATAAGACATTCTGCAATATGAACCACAAGAGTCCTCAACCGACCTTAAAAATCAACGTCAAAACTCTAATTCCATCTATCGGTAGCCTTATCAAGTGGGTCACAGAACCTGTTAGGCTTTCTGTCCGGCACCATGGAGTGTGAATCTGATACTATTTTAGTCTTTAACGATAGTGTGAAAACGAGGAGAAAATTTAAGGTTTTTTAAAAATCTTCTGAAGTAAAAAACATTCGTAGCTCAGGAAAATGAAAATCCATACTATTGTCTAAGAAACCCCAAACTAAATCAATCACCATGGGGGGCATTTGATTGAAAAAACGGACTCCACTTAACAAACGTATACGTTTTCGTGATAAGACATAACGGATTGCCAGCCCTGGGACACAATACATTTTCACCCAGTTTTTATTTAAAAGGAAATAACTTGTTGTTACCCACATCAGCCGACCAAAATTAGAATCGTTGAAAAAAAGTCATTCAAAAAGGGATTCTTAAATTAAACTGAATACGTAAACACAGCACAAAACAAAGAGAGGATATTATGATATTAAAAATCTGGCAAAAAGGATTTACATTTCAATTAAGTAAAGCCTTTGACAACAATCATATTTTATTTTTGTCATACATAAAAAAATTAAAAATTTAGAGTGGTAATTT